GTAATTATTCTATAACAAAATATAAACTAAGTCAAATATACAGCTCTTTTAATTTTTGTTATATAACCTTTTTTTTTTTTTTTTTTTTTTTTTTTTTTTTAGATAACGAAAAACCACAATTTGATATAGGATTTTCACCATTTTATTTTATTTCTTACCCTTTGTATAATGTTATAAAATATATATATATAACTAAAGAAAAATTAAAAAAAAAAATGAATATATATTATGTTTAATTATAAGAGTAACAAAAATATGTGTATGTTCATTGTAAACTATAATTTAAAAAGGATATTATAATTTTTATAAAAATTTACACTAATTATATCTTAAATTATTTTTAAAAAAATATAATAAATGAAAATTTGAAATAAAATTTTATTTTATATTTAATGTCTTATAAGGAAAAACTATGAATTATACTTTCAAAATAATAAATATGTTAGTCTTAAACTTAATTACACCTTTTTTTTTTTTTTTTTTTTTATTCATAAAATATTTATAGATACAATGCAGAAGTATATTGTATAAATATTTAAATTATTATGATGAGAGTATAAAATACAACAATTTCATTAATTTAAATAATTTAAATTTAAAAACATATATTATTTATATATTTAATAATCTACATCAGGTTTGTATTTATTTTTATTTATTTTTTTTTTTTTTTTTTTGTTTCAAATTAATAATTAAATTAATATTAGCAAATAAATATGTTTTTTTTTATTTATAATTATTATAAAAGTTGTTATATCTTATAGTAATATAATAATATTATTAAAATAGAAAGTAGCATTATTGATACATAACCACATTTTAAAAAATAATATAATAATATATGTACTTTAAAATATATTTTTTTGTATATGTGTATTTTAATTTTTTTGTTTATCTAATTTATCATCATATATATTATTTTTTTTTTTATAAACATTAGATTTACAATGATGAAGGTTTAAAAGGATTATATAAAGGAGTAATACCTATGCTAGCTCATATAATATCAAAGTAGAAATATTTTATAAAATAGTTAAAATAATAAAGAACAAAATAAATTTTTTATATATTTTTTATTTTACAGAAAATCTATTTATTACTTTTTGGAAAAACTACATTTTGTTATATTCAAAAAAATAAGTGAGACAAGAAAAAATATATACATATATATAAACGAAATGAAATAGATATCATTTTTTTTTTATATTCATTTAATAAAAACGGACTTGTTTACTAATTTTTTTTTAATTTTTTAACCATATTATAGGAATAAAGAAAAAAAGAGATAAATATGATAAAAAGATATTTTTAAATTATGAAAGAAGATTGGAAAATAAGAAAGAAAATACAAATAATTTTATTGGAGATAATACCAATTATAAAATAGTTAAGCATATTAATTTTGTTAAAGAAGAAAATAATTTTATAAAAAAAAAAAAGAAAAAGAAGTTTTTTCATTTATCGATTTATCATAGTTTTTATGAATATATTAGTTGTATCTTATCTTATCCATTATTAAATATATCAACCAAATTAATAATTTTCGAAAATAATTCAAGATCTTTAATTTATAGTAAAAAAAAAAAAAAAAAATAAATAATACAATAAAAAAGAAAATATTCAAATGTAATTATATTAACATATATACAAACTTCCTTTTTTAATATATATTTTTTTTTTTTTTTTTTAGATTTAAAAAATATTGTCCATTTGACATATATGTATGACGGTTTTTACGGTTTTTTTAAAGGGTTGAATAATTATTTAATCATTCAATCAATGGATAAAGTTTTAAATTGTTTTTTGTATTTTATGTTTTCAAGTAATTGTTCTTATGATAAAGTTCTTACAATTAAAGTAGTTTTATCAAGTAAATATAAAAATAAAATATATATATATATATAGAAAATGAAAACAACATAATATTTATTATTTTTTTTTAATATATCTTTATTAATTTATTTTTTCTTTTTTCAGCATGTTTGAATACAATTATGGCACCATTTATTCAATTTTCTATATTGAATAGATCTCAATCCCATGTTCCTGTAATGCATTTTTTTTATATTTATTGTAATTTTTTGTTTTCAACTTTTTTTTTTTTTTTTTTTTTTTTTTTTTTAATAAAGGGATTGTGTAAGGATACAACATTTAATCAATTTTTTAATAATTTTCATTGGAAAGTAAGCATATTTTTTATTTTTATCACATTTCTCTATTTTGAAAAAAAAAGATTTATGTATTTATTAACATATTTTATTGATATTATTCAGAGTCATTTGTCTAATATATCTGTCGGCTTAGCTGTAGCAGGAATTCAGCTAATGGTAATAAAAAGAAAAATTTTTAAAATAAAAATAAAGATAGAACATTATATATATATATATGTTTTTATAATATTTTTAATATTATATAGATCATTGCATTATTACCAAAAGATACCCCAAAAAATGATGATATAATGGATAAAGAAAAGGATGAATATTTTTAAAATGGATTTTATTATTTTTTAATTTTAATTTTTGCGAATTAAAATAATGAAAAAAGAAAAAAAAAAAAATGTAAAATTTTCTTGTAATAAAAAAAAATTATTGTAACTTTTTTTTTAGTTCAAATAAACAAAAATTTGCTTTAAACTTTTCTAAATCACTTTTTATTTTCTTTCATATTATTTAATTTTTTATAGAAAATTAATAATGTTAAAACTATTCTTTAAAATTCTTCCATATGTTAATATACGTTTATATGTGTCATATTCTCTTCTATTATTGCAAATAATTTTAATCATTAAACTTTATTTTTATTGAAATGATGCACATTTTATTTTATTTTTTACAGAATCACATAAAATAGCTAACAAAATTTTGATGTTCATTTAAAAATTTTCTCTTATATTTTACAAGTTAAAAAGTAAAAATTTATAAATAATCATATTTAATAAACTATTAGATTTATAAAATGAAGAGTAATGACATATTTGTATTTTTTTAAAAGTAAAAATACAATTTTATTTGCCATATATATTTAAAAAAAATTTTAAAAATAAAATAAAGATACTTTATTATTAAAATAATTCTGTTTAAACGGCGCATACATATATGATATAATTCCATAAATTATCTGAGGCATTATGGCATAATATTTGCTAAACGAATATTTTAATTTAATTAAATAATATATATATATATTTAAGAATATAATTTAATTTTTTTCATATTTCCCTTTTTATATATTATTGTTGTAATTTTTTCAATTTTAACTAAGTAAATGTTAGGAGATCTTTAATTCTACTATTCTAATATATAATTAATAGTATAAGATTCAGATTTTTTGTTTCACCTAAAGACTATTTATCAATAATATAAATATTCATTTAATTTTCTAAAAAAGAAACTATTCAAAAAAAAATTTTTTTTTTTAAAGGAATGTTGAAAAAATCTCATTTATTAATTTTATTTTAAATAAATTTAAAAAATCTCTTCTTATTAAGTAAATTTCTTTCTCATACATCTTATATATATAATGTAAAACTAATAGATAAAAACAAAAAATATGTTTTTTTTTCTCTTCAAACCAATAAAAGATATTTCATTATATTATATATTATTTGAAAAAACTTTGAGTGTAATAATTCATTTTTAATTTATGACGTAAAACATATCTATAGAATGCTCATTACATGTGTGTATTTATTAAAATTTATGTTATATGATTATTATACAAACTTACAAAAAAGAAATAAATCATCTAAAATTATTAAATTCAATTTTATTCATATATAGAAATATATATCTTTGTTTTTAATTGAGATATTTAACTTTGATGCCATATAAAGCGTATTCTTTTAATAATAATGAAATAATTAAGTTAAAGGTAAACCCTATTTTCTAATAAATGTAGAGTAAGTATATAAAAGTAATTTAATAATTTATTTTAATTTTAAAACAAACATATTTAAATACATATCTTGTTAATTAGTTTTAACAATTTTTTTATATATTAGCAAATGCGTGCATTTGTTTAAAATTTAAAAACCATGTGTACTCCTTTGAGTACAGGTATAAAATTACACATTCATAAAAAAAAAAAAAATTATAAAAAAAATATAAATTGTTCATATATATTTCGAATAATTATTAATCCTTTTTATTAAAAAGTCATAAAAGATTTAATAAATTTATGACTGTTTTTTAAATTTTTCCAAATTTTCTTTTTTTTTTTTTTGTCTTATTTTCATGTAAAAAAATTAAATAACAAATGAAGATAAAAAATTAAATATTATACATTCATTTATTTTTTAAATTAATTTTTTTATCAAATAAAATATAACTTTTTTTTTTTTTTTTAGATGGAACTTTTCCACTCAACATATTTTTTTCTTTCTTTATTCTTATATAACGGTAATTACATATTTTATTTTTTCATATTAAAATTTTATAAATTTTCTACATCTGAAAATCTGCAAGTTAAAGGAATATAGAATATATATTTTTTAAAAATTATTCCTCTTACATGGCCATTTTATTTTTAAAATTTTTTTTATGTTAACATTTTATTATTTTAATATCGTACTGTTTTATTGAGATACTATTTAAATGAATTATTAAATGAATTATTAAATGAATAAAAAAGTAAAATAACAATAAAACATTACATATAAATTCTCCTTTTACAGCTGCATTCTTTAAACATTTTATATTTAAATTTTTATTCTTTAATTGATAGTAATTATTTTTTTTTTAATCATATTTTTAACATTATTTTTCATTAGCATTTCATATAATTTCCATTATAATTAACTTTTTTTATCCACAGATATAAATTAAAAATCAAATTCACCTTGTATAAAAGTATATTTAAGACTTTTTTTTTAATATATAAAATATTGTAATTAATAATTTTGAGTTAACGAGCTTGCACACTTACGACATTAATAATAGAGATTTATTATTTTATTTTTAATAGATTTTTCAAGGTGTGTAGAAAAAAAATATATATGTATTTATAAGAAGGATCAAGAAAAAAAATTTTATTATATTGCTTTCATTTTTTTTTTTTTTTTTTTATGTTATAAAGAATAAATTAAATGCAAAAAAAAATGTACAACTGTTCTAAAAAATGCAACATGCACACACACTCGCACAAAATTATGCATACTAGCTATTTTTTTTTTTTTTTTTTTTTTTATTAAAATTTTACATAGATTTACATAAAAAATTTTTGTTTATAGTTTTTAAATGTAGTTTTTTTTTTTATTTTCCTTTTCTTAAATAATTCAAAAAAATTTTTAATTTACTTTTTCTTAAAAAATTTGAATGTTGCTTTTCTTTTAGATGCTTTCTTCAATATTACCAAAAAGATATTATTTCGACAAACAAGGAAAAATAAAAGAAATAGATTTATTAAGTTGCAAAACAATTATTTCTCCACAAAAGCACGTTGATACTAAGGATAATTTAACTTGTACTACTCACGTTCTTCCCAATATTTATGAAACAACACATAACTTTCCAAAAATGAATCTAACACACGAGAATAATTTTGATAATGTAGAAATGAATACAAACGTTTATGTAAATCAAGAACCATCTATGAATAATGTTAATGCAGTTCCTTATGCAGCAGATCAATACAATAACATTCAGGAAGTAAATATTCATGAAATTACTCAACCATTAACTTTTGCAGATGGAAATCTATACTATGCAGATGGTCCCCAGGGAATTGATCCAGGGGTCCTAGCTGTCTCGAATGCTTTATTTGCTTATAATAGTTCTTTTCAATCAATACCTATTAAAACTTCTCCAAAAGTATTCAGACGAAGAAGAAGAGGAGAAACAAATTCTGAATGGAGCAATGCTTTTGTTACTAGAGTAGACCCTTGTGAATGTACCGAACCAGAAGAAGAATATAAACCATATGAAGTCACAAAATATTATGATGAAAGTGGAGTAAAAACTGTATTTAATTTTGATCATGAACCATTTCATGAAGCAATATAAATTTCTTTAAATAAATATACTTTTAACTCATATTCTATTTTTTTTTTTTAATTTACATATATAGGAATATAAGCATAATATATATATTTTTTTTTTATCTTTGGAATAATGAATATATATGAAAACTTTTATATTATTGTGGATCTTTTTTATAACAATTATAAAATTAATTTCAATTATATTCTTGCAGTATTATATAATTTATTTAATCATGTGTTACAGTTTCTGTTAATACATTAAGTTCTCGCTTCTTCTTTATTTTAAAAAAAAAAAAATTGATATTCTTATTTTTATAAGGATCTTTTCTTGAGTTTTATTAACACACATTAATAATATATTTAATAATATTTTTTTTTATTTTTTATAAAATTTACTCTACAGTTTTTTTTATTTTTTTTAAAGTATACAACTAAATTTAAAATAATATATATAGAAACAAAAGATTGTAATAATATTTTATTGCTTTTAAAGAATACATCTAAATTAAAAAGAATATTTTTATAAACATTACTTTTTTATTTTTTCTTATGGTTTTTTTTTTATTTACTATAGATAAATTTTTATAATTAAAAAAGTACATTTGCATTATAGTCATATACAAATTATTAAGTATTATTTTTTTCACATTTTTTATATTCTCAAACATATTTTTAAAACTATAAACAAATAGAAAAAGTAAATGAATAAATAAAATAAAATACTTAATTTTCTATAAATAATTTTTTAGTATATCTGCGTAAAAACTATATTAAATAATTTAATAGATTTTAATTAAAATTCAATAAATTTAATTAAGTCTTTTAATTTCCATTTTTTTTTTTTTTTTTTTGTTGTAATGTGTACTTACAGTTATTTCAAATAAAAGAAATAAGTGCAAGGTAAGAAAAAAATAATGTCTCACAAAAGAATGTTCAATATAATTCTACTTTTTGTTAAATATATATTTTTTTTTCTTTTTTTTTTTTTTCATATATTATATATATATATATGTTTCACTTTTCATATATTTTTATGAAAGTATCATATATCACTAATAGGTGATTTTCAAATTTTTTTTTTTTATAATAACTTATTAGACTATGTTTTTTAATTGCACATATTTTTTTTTAGGAGATACAATAATGTAAAAAAAAGAAGTGACGATAGCAATATTAGCTATAACAATTTAAATAACTAAAGAAAATAATTGAAGAGAATTACTTTTTTTTTTTTTTTTTTTTGTTTTATAGAATTATTAATGGTTGAGAATGAAAAAAATAACAATTATTGTTTTTTTTTTTAGTTTGATTAAAAAAAATTTTATTTTCTCAAAAGATCCAGAGTCATCACTTGAAAAAATAACTGAATTTAGACAACAACACCGAAAAACATTGGACGGAAGACTTTGTGCTGCTGCTTTCCTTCATGATGATCAAACATATACTGACTGTACAGACGCAACTTCTCCTGATGGAACTAGTGGTTTGTATGAATATATTGATATTCTTAGAATTAAATAATTGATTAAATCAAAATAATAGGAACATATATATAGAATTTTTCTATAATTATATATATATTTTTCATTTATAAAATTTCAGGTAAAGAATGGTGCTATGTAGAGGTTCAATTATTAGGCAAAGGTTCTCGTGATTGGGATTATTGTGCTAATGCAATTAATTATGACAAACTAAGAATGCATGCAAAAAAAGTTTTTGAAGAAAAATCTTTAGAAGCTGATAGATTAAAGGATAGATTACAGGTCTTAAATAGTAGAATACATAGTATGTTACAAAAATTTGATTCTGTTTGTGGAAAAAAACATGAACTTATAAATTCTCGAATTGAAAAAATTAATGAATGGCTTACTAAAAGCGAAGATTCTTTATCAAAAATTGAAAATAATTCTAATGACATAGATTCCACTAAAAAAATTATTGATAAGTTACAAATAGACATTAAAAATGAGAATGAAAGTGCTAAACAAGCTGAGGAAAATTGTGAAAATTCTCCAGGTTATGAAGATGAGCCACGTAGTGACGGATTAAAAGTATCCTATTTTAATAACCCTATTTTTGAAGGATCACCAATTGAAACAAGAATTGAAAAAGATATTAATTTTTTTTATAGTAATAGAGGTCCTTTAGAGAGTCTTTCCCCTTACAAATATTCTATTCGATATGAAGGATTTTTATTAGCACCACACAATGGAACGTATATTTTTGCAATTGAAACTGATTGCTCTGTTAGATTACTTTTAAACAATAAAGTTGTATTAATGCATGGCTTTGAAGAAATAGAAGAAAATTCTTTTTCTATAAGATCAATGAAATACTCTATTGTAAATGATGATAAAAGTGAAATAATTAAAAAAAACTCGAAACCTATTGAATTAATAGGTGGAGAAAAACATAAATTTGTTTTAGAAGTTTCTCATTCTTCCCATTTAAAATATAAAAATGGAGAATCAGCTTCTTTTAAATTATTATGGAAATCGAGTGCAATAGACGAGGAAGTAATTCAAAGTCATTATTTTTTTAGTGAAAATATTATTCCTCCTACAAGATTTTCTTCATTAAATGCAGAATTATTTGAGATAGGATTAACTGATATAGGAGAATATATATTTAAAAATGACACTGATTGGTTAATTACAAGCATTCCATCCAAATACATTGGTTTACATCTTATAAGAACAGAACCAAATCCTCAATTTACCAATTTTTCTTTATCAATTAACACTGGTTCTAATTTATTTATTGCTGCACCAGAAAATGAAATTTTGCCTCTTAGCCCATATAAAGATTCTCTATGGAAAGCATTTAATACAGAAGATATTTTAGAAGTCACTCATAGTGTAACAAAAGAAAAAAAAAAGTTCAAAATCAAATTTATTCCTTTAAAAAATAGAGCAGAATTGAAATTCCATGTGTTAAATAATATTCCTTTTTTGATATTTGCTCAACAAAGAAAAATTTTACCAACTATATGCAATGGAGAAGAAGAAGTTTTATCATCCCCAGAAAATAGTGTATTTAAAGAATGTATAGAATCATCTGCATTAACAGAAGAATTCAATTGTTTAGCTGGACTTCAGAATTTACATATAGATAAAAAATATAGCATGTGGAGATCTTCAAATGCATCTATTGGTGAATATATAAAAGTATTTTTTAATAGACCAGTTCAAATTAATAAATTTCGTTTTAAACCTAGAGATGATATCTTAACATGGCCATCAGAAATATCTTTACTTTTTGATGATACCGAATTAATTGTACCAATTTTGCATACTTCTAACATGGATCATAATACATTTAAATTAGAGCATCCAATTATTACTACCTCAGTTAAAATAGAAATAAGAGATATGTTTGTAAATAACGATGAAACAGGTGGATCTTTTGAACTTATAGGAAATTCTTGTAACATAACTGATAATGATTATATGGTTCATCATGCAATTATAGATATTATTGATTGTAATAATACGTTAAATGATATACCTGATGTTCTACCTTTAATTAATGGAGATAAATTCTTAGCTACCTGTGATTACCACTGTATGGAACAATTATCTGGTGAAGTTTACGGTTCAGATTTATATTCCACTGACTCAGCTTTATGTAAAACAGCTGTTCATGCAGGTGTTTGTAAAAACCAAAATAAACAAAATTGCAAATTTTTAGTAATGATAAGCAATAAACAAGAAAACTATGTTGGAAGTTTGCAAAATAATATTTTGTCTTTAAACCAAAATAAGAGTTCTAATTTATCTTTTACTATTTCTCCTGCATTTATACAAAATTTTAGTCAATTATATTCTTCTTCTCCTAATAGTTATTCCATTGTTTTTAAAAGAAATTATGATTTAAATTTACCAAATAAATTTCTAATAGATTCAGGAGAAGTATTTAAAGATTATGGTACTTTTGCATATGGATGGAATAGACCAGTTAACTTATTAGAACCTTTAATACAAAAGAACATTTATTCAAATAGTTTATTTTCAGGAGGAATTAACTTTCCACCTGCATCAGCTAGCGAACATTGCATAACTGATTTAGAATGTCAGACAAATTTTTGGAAATTTAAAACTCATGAAAATGGAACATATACAATTCAGGTTTTAATTGGTAATATATCTTCTAATGATAAGCAAAATGCCTTTATTGAAGTAAATGGATTACCATTAATAAAAAACGTTGAACTTCAAAAAAATGAATATTTTGTTGCTGTTAAAAATGTACAGATAACAAATAGATCCCTTATATTTACATCAACTTGTTTAGAATCTGAAAACGAATGCACTCATGCTAAAACTACTATAATGGCTATTCAAATCTTAAAAACATAATTAAATAAAAAAAAAAAAAAATAAAAATAAAAATTATATAATTGTATACAAATATTAGTTGACAAGAATAACCGTATATATTTTTAAAATATTACAAAAAGAGTTTACACATATATATTATATATATTATATATATAATTTATATGTTACTAGTTTAAGATATAATAGCACTACATATAAAATAAAAGTAATAAAAATAAAATACTTTCTCTTTTCTACATTTCTATTAGGATTTTATAAATAAGTTGTTTTTTTTCTATTTACCTCTTTATATTTATATTAACTAATAAACTATTCTTAAAAAATTATTCCAATAAAGTTTTTTTTATTATTTTATTAATATTTATATAATTTTATTTTTATTAAATTAAACAAAGAAACTTATTATATTTTTTAAGTAATAGCAATAATAAAACATTAAGTTATTTTTTCTTTTTTCTTCATCTAAGAAAACTTAAAATATGCTGCAATATTTAAAGCAAATTATTTTTATTTGAATTTTAATTTAACTACTATTTATATTTTGTTATTTTATTTTTATCTTTTTTATTAATAATTCCATTGTAGTTATACAAATTTTATAAATCAAGTTGAAAACAACTTTTTTGTATCAAACATGGAATCACTAATTATTTATTAATAATTTTATAGTTAAAAAAAATTGTCAAAATAAAATAATAATGTTAAACAAAACTTAAAAAAAAAAAATATATTTAAAATGTTCACATTAAAATATAATAGAAAATTAAAAAGGATAAATAAATGTAAAATTAAAATTAAAAAAAATATATGTGTTAAATAAAATAAAAATAATAGAAAAATAGCTTTTTTTTTTTTTTTTTTTTTTTTTTTTTTTTTTTTTTTTTTTTCAATAGACTCTAATTTTCTGATTCTTCCTGAACCATACAGTGTAATTTAAATCTTGAAAGTATACTCGATAATCCATTAATAGCTAAACCACAGTTGTTTAAATCAAATAAAGGTAAAGCTTTTAATGTAAAACCAGGTGGTAAATGAAAAATACATTTTGATGACAATGTTACTTGATATAACCGAACATATTCCTTAGGTCTAGTTACATGTGCAGGTAGGTAAGGTAAATAAACTGAATTAAATTGTGTTTTCCACCATTCTCCTAAGAATTCTCCAATTTCAACTGTTTCTTCTTTTTCAGAATTTATTTGATTTGTTATAAAATGTATATCTTTAATTTTATTAATATATTTTTGTAATTTTTTTTTTAATACTTCCTTTGGCTTTTCCCATGTTTTATATTTTCCATTTAATAAATAATATTTCTGACTTTCTAAATGTTGCAGTAATAATAAATGTGGGTATTCATATCTATGGCATAATATTATTGCCAGTACAGAATTTCTGATTCCATTTTTATTATAAGAATTTATACGCTTCTTACATTTTTCATTATCTATTATAAATTTATTTTTTAGTTTTTCATCAATGTTGAATTCATAATTAGATTGAGGATATAACAACCATTCAGATTTATTTTCTCTATTGCATATATTAATGTTTGTTGTATTTATATTAGAATTAGTTGATTGAATAACCATGTCTTTTAATTTTAAAAAAATTTTATAGTTTAAAAAAAAAAAAAAAAAACTTATTAAACAGTTATATATATCTGCTTAATACTATAAATAATTTAATTTTTAGTGTTTAAGTTTTAATATTTTACAAAATAAACTATAATTAATAAAATTAAAAGAAATGAACAAAAACAATATTTATGATATTTAAAAAAAAAAAAAAAAAAAAATTAAATAAAATAATGATTTTTTAATACTTCTTAAACTTATTCCTACTTAATCATTTTTACTTCTTATAAATATTACATTTATATTTTTTTTTTACCTTTAGAATTTATAACTTCTTTTATTTTATTGGTTTATTTTTATTTCTTTTTAATATTATTTTATATAACTTAATTTTTATAAGTAATTATTACTTTTTTTATTTTTATTTGTATTTTTCTTTTATTATTTTATACTCTTTTTCTATACATATAACATATATAGTAGTCTTTTATCTTTTATATTTATAGTTTTTAATATTTGTAATATAAGTAATCATTATTAATATAAAGTTATTTTAATTGATAACATATTATTTTTTACAGTAATTATTCATTATTAAGAGTTTATAAAATTATATATTTTTTTTTATGTTATTTTTAATTGTTAAATGTTTTAAAAATAAATTTTCTCTGAACTAATGAAATAACAGCTTGACTATTTAAAAAAAAAAAAAAAAAAAAAAAAATTGCAAATATTTTTTGCTATAAAAAATCTTGAATGAATTAATTATTCCATTTTAGTATATCACCTAACATTTTTTGCTCTTTCTTAATTTTATAAAATTATATATTCTTTATGTTTAAAAAAATATATTTTTTCTTTTTAATCAAAAAATGTCCTACTATGATTAATTGTTATGAAGTATTAATTTTAAAATATATAAATACAAAATTATTTCATAAATTTGAAAATTTTTTTTAATGTAAGCATATTTTATTTTTATAATACTAAAAAATTTTTTTATTTTATATTTAAAAAAAAAATATTCATATTTTTTAAAATCTTTCTGTTATAAAACTCTTTTTTATTTTGTTGTAAGGTATTATTCATTAGATACTTTAGATATTTTTTTAAATATAAATATATGATTTACAAATATTGATATGCAATTTATGTAAGTCTTTTAAAGCAGCAAATTTTTGAAATATGAAAGTTTAACATTATAATATAATTATCAGATTAAACGATTTCGAAAAAGAATAAAAACAAAAAGAATTATTTTATTTTAAATAACAAAAAAAAAGTACATATATATATATATATACATATGAATATCACATATCTTTATTCTCTAAAATAATTTATCCATTATAAAAAAAAAAAAAATGATTTAAAATTATTAGTATCTTACGAATTATAGCATGTCTATACAAATACCTTTGTTACTACCCTTTTAAATATAAAAAGAAAAAAAATGCAAACAAAAGAATTATATAAAATATAATGAAAAAATAGTATTTATGTAAATATAATTAAAAAAAAAATATATATATATATATATATAAAATACTGATAAAATTAAGAAATGGGTTATTAAAATTAAATGATAAAATTTTGCTAAAAAAAAGTAAATAAATATAAATACTTTAAATAAATAAGAAATATAAAAAAAATTAATAAAAATAAAATAAAGTTTCAAATAAAGGTATTAAATTTATAATTATTTATTATTTTTTCTTAAATTCATTCTTTTTTCTACGAAGTTTTTTACTTTCTTAAAAGGAAAAAAACAAATTTTTAACTTCATTTTTGCTTTTTTTTTAAGTAATTAACAACATATCTATTAATAAAATATTTTGCAAATAAATATAAATAAGACAAATACATTATACAAGCACAGAATATATTTTTTCTTGAAATATAATGACCATTATCCAATGAAAAATTATCTTTTAATTTATGAATAATATTGATATCCCAACTAGTATTGTACTTAGAAATATAAGTTATATATAAGCAATAAAGGGTTAATAAAATACCCAAAACCATTTGAAAAATTTGAATAAAAGTAACAACAACACTCCATTTTAATGGTCTATTATATAGTGTAGCTAAAAAATAATAAAAATACATAATAACATGTACAAAAGCATTAATAAAAATGAAAACAACTCCAGCTGGTAATTCAACAAAATAGGTATCCCATGTATATAATAAAACAGTTGAGTGATGAAACCAATGTAATAACGTAACTTCTTTTTTTCTTAAAATTAAAAAACATGTATCAATTAATTCAAAATATTTAGATAATATAAATAAACATATCCACAATCCAACAGGACCAAATGCATACATATAAACTGGTGGTATTATTAATAATCCAGTAAAAGAATAATGATAAATTATATATAACAATACAGGTAATAATCTCATTATTACAACCATATTAAAACATGATAATAACAAGTTCCATATTATTATTATTTTTTTTATATTAAATGGCTTTCTATTTTCCATAAGAATATTTCCATATTTACAAAATAACAAATATATTATCACAACAATTGGGCATATAAAATATTTATTGTGAACAAACTCAATAAATCTAAAAGGAGTAAAATTCTCTTCCCTAATTAAAGAAAGAATAAAAATTAAATAAATATAAAGATAAATATGAGAATATAAAAATAAATAATTGTCTTAAATAAATTTCCACAATAAAATAGTAAAATAAAGTCACTAATTGTTAAAAAAATCAATATATATATATAAAAGAAATATAAGATAAATAATTATCTATAATAATCTTTTTCAAACCATTGAAAACATAAATATTTAAAAAATGGGATAACTTCCTCTATATTAAAAACAGCTTTTTTAGGATAGTCTCGAATATTACCTAATATTCTATAATAATCTTCATCATTTGTTTTAATTATTATATTTTCAACCATATTTCTATCCCTTTATTTTATTGCTTTTTTTTTTTTTTTTTTTTTTTTTTTTTTTTTTTTTTTTTTTTTTTTTTTGTTGTTCACTCCTTTTTTTATTCTAATCTATGTTTTACTAATTTTCAATTTCTTAGTGTACTTTTTATCTTATTCTATTTTTCTTCTTTCTTGAAACAATTTTTTACTTTTAATTTTAAACAGAAAAGTTTATTTTTAAATTTATTCATTTAAACACATATATGAACAAAAATGGAAGTATATAAAAGTAATAAAAACATAATTATTTAATTAATTATATATTTAAATTTTAATTTTTATTAAAAAAAAATCATTATATATGTATGTATATATATAAATATATATATGTATATATATATATATAAAATTGTACATAAGAAAATTTACAAATTTTAAAAAATACTAGAGATTTATTACAAAGAATATTCTTTTTTTTTTTTTTTTAAAATGCACTAATAATGCATAAATATAAAAGTTTCATGAAAATTTATTTAATTATAATTTTATTTTGATCCTTTTCTTGAAATAACAATAAAAAATATACAATTTTTAACTAAATGAATTCATAGAATATCTATAAAAAATATGTACTCAATGAATTATATAGGAAACAAAATATTATTAATTAATGAATTTTCTTTAAAAGGTTTGTTGTTTTTACAAAAATGTTTCCTTTTTAATATTCTCATGGGAGTAGAGCTCATATAGATAAATTTATTTTTTTTTCTAATTGTTCTATTTTTATAAATTTAACTAATTTTGCTACAATTTTAATTGTTATTCTCATTATATGATACTTTTTATTAGTTTTTTTTTTTTTTTTTTTTTTTTTTTTTTTTTTTTTTTTTTTTTTTTTAAAAATCGTACATATTTTAATTAAAATTTTAAATAAAAGAAACTAATTTTTTATCTTAATCTATTCTTAAAAATAATTAATTCTATATAGAAGATAAACTAATATTTACTTTCCTGATGATATCTATTATTAATAAGAATTCTAAATTTTTTTTTTTTTATTATTTATCAATGAAAAACTAAATTTAAATAAAACACTAAAAAATAAAAATTAATATAAATGAAAATTTTTGAAAAAAAAAAATTTTACGAAAATAAAAGTTATGAGAAACAAATATATACATAAATAAAAATCTTCCATAATGTTTTATCTAAAGGTAAAAGTTTTTATATATCTACATATTCTTCTTTTGGTAATAATAAAGAATTATTATCTATTCGATTACATGTAGGAATCTCAGCATCTTTAATATGAAGAAATACGTTTTCTAATGTTTGATTAATGTCATTTATTTCTTGGTAGAATTCTTCATATAATGTAGCAAAATTTTGCTTTAATTCCTCTTCAGAGTATTTATTAGAAAATTCAATTTTTTTACCATTAATTTCTAATATATCCTCAAAATTTTCATAAATTATATTGCATAATTTCTTTAAAGTTTTATGTAAGGAAGTATTTATATGTGGTAATACTCTTATCGTTTCTTGTAAAATTTCTTCTGCTTTTTTTATCTCACCTTCGTGTTTATTTTCATCCTATTAAAGAAAGAGAAAAAAAATATACATATATATAATATTTATTAAATAACCCAATTTATATTGTACATATATGGAAGTACACAAAATAAATAAACTTTTTGCTAACTATTCATGTTTAATTTTACGAATACTGATAATATAATTTTAAACGCTTATATATATATGTAAATATTTATCTATTTATTTTATATATGTTAAAATTATTTAAAAAAAGGGTATTATGTTTAATATCCTAATTTATATTGTATATAATAAATATCCTACCTTGAGTTTATTTACTTTACTTTTTAATTCTTCTTCTTCCTTTTCATAATATATTAATTCTTTGAAAAGCCTTTTAACAGCACCATGGTTAATTTTCAAAAGTTTAAAATCAGATAATAAATTTTTCATTTTGTTGTTCATTTTTATAATATACTTTTTAAAAAAAGGAAAAAAAAAAATCAATTTTTCAACGAACTTAAAAAAAAAATTATTTTATGATGTATTTTCTCTCTAAATTTTAAAATAGTATCCTTTTAAATTATTTACTTATCACTAATTTTACCTTTTTTTTTTTTTTTTTTTTTTAAATTTATATATATATATATTATATTTAGAAACTTTTTTATGAACTTCAAAAAAAAAAAAAAGATTTAATACGAAACAGTAACAGAAAATAAATGTTTTTTTTTTTTATGAATTGAATGCCAACAAATAAGCTAATATCTTCAATTATTTTTACTAAAATTTGTGTAGATATAATATCATTAAATGTCTTATATAAAAAAAAAAAAAATATATTTTTATATTATTTATATTTGCATTTTTATTTAAATATATGTACATATTTTATACTTTTTTCAATATTTTAGGCACATGAACATGTATTTTATTTTTTAATTTCTCAATTAAAATGATTTTTTCTTAAAAAATTGCGAAGATAAAATTTTATTCTACATAATATTCTCATTTTCTTCTTTTTATTAAAAAAAAAAAAAAAAATCAATTATAATATTCATAATAATATTTATTTAAATTAAAAGTGTGTGTTAAACCAAGATATAGTTTTTAAAATATTGTGCGAAAAAAAATAAAAAAAAATTAGTGAAAATATATATGAAATCCATTTTAATTATTTATTTTTTTTTTTTTAACTTGATAATAATTTATATTTTTTAAAATATGTTATTTACAAATAAAAATTTTACTTTAACTTTTCATATTTAATATATATATATTTATATATATATCTTATTATTATATATATTATGTTTTTTCTAAATTTAAGTATTTCCTCATATCTAGAGCACTTTCATTACCACAATAATAGTTAGTAATTTCTTCATTGATAATGTATCCCAACTTTTTATACATATTAATAGCTGGATCATTTGATATTCGAACAAATAAATCAACAAAATAACCTTTGTGAATTATTTTAGATATTTTCTCAAATTCATTCATTAAACCAATCCCTTTTCCTGTTCTTCTACCATCTTCTTCGATTGATAACGCCGTTACATGACCATGATATTCTTCACCATATCCTTCTTCTTTTCCTTAAAATATTACAAATAATTATGTAAATTTCTCTAATAATATATTTTAAAAATTTTTTTTTTTTAATTCTTATTATTCATTTTATTATTTAAGATTGTTTATATATATTGCTATCATTTTTAAGTTTTTTAAACATTTATACCTATTATATATCCACTTATATGATCATCCATATCTTTACTAACAATATTCATATGAGGCCATTTGTAAATATATCTTAAATAAAATTTATCATTAAATACTTCAGTAAAAGGGTCTAAATTCACATTATTGATTTTATATAAATCTATATAACTAAAATATTGATAACTAGCCATTTTTGTTTTATTTTATTTTTGTTTTATGTATTTGAAACTTTTAAGACCCTTTTTAATATTTAAATAATAAACATAATAAAAAAGTAACAAGTAATACAATTATAATTAAAAGTTATATTTTTTATTTAAATGTCATTTTTTTTTTTTTTTTTTAAATATTTAAAAAAGAATATAAAAAATATTCTCTAAACATACAATATTTTTTTAATAACATTACTTTAAATTTTTTTTTGTAAAATTTTAAAAATTTTTTAAAATCCTTGTAAATAAAAAAAAAAAAAAAAAAAAAATATAACATTTATTCTATCTTGAAGGTGTTAATAAAATTATTTTAAGTATTTCAAACTGAAGAAAATTTTTTACGTAGATATAAAAACAATAATATTAAAAGTTTAATAGATAAATAATATAAAGGAGCATATCATATATTAATTATGTATCCTAATAAATTTTAATCAAGATATTCAACGTTTATTGCTTTACTAGAATGACTTTTTTCATCATATATTACTGAAAATTTGACTCTTTCACCTGGTATTAAGTATTTAAATTCCTTTTTAATTTCCTGCTCTTTTTTATAATCATTTTCAAAATTTAAATCATCTTTGTTATTCCTTAAATTCATGTTTGAATTCCATGTTAATTTGTTTTTTTCTTTACTTGTAATAGCATAACTTCTATCTATAAATTATTATAAACAAATAATTGTATTTTTTTTTCAATTTTAATTTAGTTATTATATTATATAATAAGGTTTATGTAATCAAAGTTACTGTGACAAATATCAGAGTAATGAACAAAAACATCAGGCCCTCCATCATTGGGTTCTATACAAAAAATTAAATAAAATATAAATAAAGAATTTAAAATTTCATATCAAGTTTTTTTGTACAATAAGCATAAATAGATTTTTACATATGTTATTTACTTATAAAACCATATCCTTTTCTTTTATCAAATTTTACTACATTTCCTGTTATTTTATCATTCTCTTTATTTATAAATTCAGAAAAAAAAAATTTTTTAAAAAAGTTTAAGAAAGTGTGACTCTGTTTTCTTTTAAACATTTTTTGTTATAATTTTCCTTTTAAAAACATAACATTTTGTATTTATTTTTAAATAATATATTAAAAAAAAAAACTCATTTATGATAGTGTTTCAAATATTATAAATGTTAATATGTTGGAAATATAAATATATATATATATGAATGGTTCATAAAATTTTTAAATTAAAAAAACTGCTATGTATACAAATACAAAATAAGTGTAAAAACTTACAAAAAAAAATATACAAGGAAAAATACTTTATAATTCAATCAAATAGATTGGAGCATATAAAATGTTTAAAAAAAAAAATTAAAAAAAAAAAAGTATTATAAATTTAAATGTTAGCATATATAAAAAAAAAAAAAAATGTTACAATTCAAAAGAAAACAAAAATTAAATTTATAGGTATAAAAGTAAATATTTTTTAATTTTCAAGTATTTTCAAAATATCTTCTTGCTGGTATCATATTTTTCTTTTTTTCTTTTTGTAAAATTCTTTTTTCTTTTTTAGTAACTTTTTTTATACTCTTATTATTTGAAAACTTCTCTTCTACCATTTTTTTTATTTTCCTATCACTATAATAAAATGGTTTTTTATTTTTTGTTAAAATCTTTTCCTTTTCTTCCTTTACTAGTTGCAATTTTAGTTTCCTTTCTTCCTCCTTTTTTTTTAATAACACATCAACACTCTTATAATTATTATACTTTTTTTTTAATTCTATTTTTTCTTCCTCTTTCAAATTTTTGCTTTTTAATTTTTTTTCTATTAATTTCTTTTCTTCCTCTCTAGAGTCATATAAAAATTTATAAGCTTTTTTAAAAAAATTTGGATTAAATGCACCTTTAAAAAAAAAATACATAAAATATATTCAATACGTATATTGTTAAAAATAAAGTATATAGCATTAATATATAATTTTTATTATTAAACATATATCTATATATATTTGTTTTTTTTATTATTTAATTTTATATATATACTATGTATTTCGTTATTTTTACATATATTCAAAGCTTTAATTTATATACACATATAAAAAAATATATTCATTTTTTTTGTACCTGAAAATTCAGAAAATCTTGGATCTCTTACTTGAGGCTTAGAATTTTTTTTTTTCTCAGAAACATTAAATGGTTTTCTATTACTTACAACTAATGGTTTCTGACTTTTTTTAATTTTAATTTTTTTTTGGTTTTTTGATTGATTTTGCTCCATCTCTCAATAAAAATTTACAATTACTAATATTTTAAATATATACAAATATATATTTATATATATATATATATATTCTTTTTTTAATTTTTCATTTTAAGCTCTATAATTTTTGAAATTTTGAAGTTCTTAAAATATTTTTCTCAATATTTTTTTGTTTTTATTTTTATAATTTTTTGTATATTTATTAACTAAATGATCATTTATTTTATTTTAGTTTTACATTTAATTTTTTTTTTTTTTTTTAATTTATTTTAAAAAATTTTTTTTTTTTTTTTTTTTTTTTTTTTTGCATAAATTGTAGAATAGTTTTTAATTAAAAAAAAAAAAATATAAAAATAGTTTTTTTAAAAAAATAAGAATGCATTTATATATACATGAAATTTTATAATAGTTATAAAAAAAAAAAAAATATATTCCTTATATGAAAACATGAATAAGACTCCTAATGTAAAAATAAAAAGGTTATATAGAAAAAAAAAAAATTTTACCAATTTACAAGAGTATTTTTAAAAAAAAAGGAAAAAATTTTTTTTTGTTTCCTTTTTTCTGAAATCTTAAGGAAGATTAGTATTAATCTATATGTTTAGATACAAAAAAAAAAAAAAAAAAAAAGAAAAAATTAATTTTCTTATCTCTTATACATTTTTATAATATATATTTGTTTTGTTTTACTCCTTTATAATTCAAAGAAAAGGAGAAAAAGATAATTAAAAAGGTGTAAAACAAATATATACAAATTAAAGTAAAAAAAGAAAAGAAAATATTTTTATAGTAATATATTCGTTTACCTTTAGTTAATTATAATGAATAACAATATATCTGAGGAAAAGAAAAATGAAGAATTATGTAACTTTCTTCATATATTAGATGAAGAATTTAAACTATGTAAAGAAAAAGAAAGCAATGAAAAAAAAGAACACTGTGAATATTATAGTAACTTAAAAAAAGACAAAGGAATTGATGTTTTATTAAATGAATATACAACGTCATTACACATAAGTAAAAAGTATAAAATAGATCATAATAAAGCAATTGGTATGATTAAAAAGCTGGAAACTTTATATTACATTATCAACAACATTAAAAATTTCAATACATACCTATTAACAGAGGAGGGAACTCAATATTTAAGAGAAGGATCACCAGAATATGTTGTGTTAAGATTTGTATTAGAAAAAAAAAAGTGTGCAATGGAGGATTTAAAAAAAATATTTGGGAAAAGAGGTGACATAGGATTAAACATTAATTTAAAAAATAAAATGATAGAACTAAACAAAAATGAAAAAAGCTTAAGCTCAAGTATGGATATAAATAAAATTGAGGATAAGACACAAATTTATTTAGAAATTATAAATAGATATGGAAATGATGAAGATATTCTTTTTGATGAATTAAAAAAAAAAAATATAGAAAATATAAATAATTTAATTCAAGATTTAAAAAAAAGAAAATTATTAGAAGTGAAAAAAAATTCATATAGTTATATTATAAAAACCAGTAATTTCAGAAAAGATATAAAGAAGCAGATAACTGATTTAACTTATTCTTTGTTAAAGAATGAAGAATATCAAAAATATGATATAAAAAAATATAATTTTTTTTCCAGTGGAAAGAAAATAAATAAAGGTAATTTGCACCTTTTAACAAAGCAAATGAGAACCTTTAAAGAAATTTTTATTTCTTTAGGATTTGAAGAAATGGAAACTAATAAATATGTAGAATCTTCTTTTTGGTGTTTTGATGCTTTATATATTCCTCAACAGCATCCAAGTAGAGATTTACAAGACACTTTTTTTATAAAAGAACCAGAAACATGTCAAAATAATTTTATAGATTCTGAATATATTGAGAATATAAGAAGAGTGCACACACATGGAGACTATGGAAGTTTTGGATGGAATTATAATTGGAGATTAGATGAGAGTAAAAAAAATGTCTTACGAACTCATACAACAGCTAATTCATGTCGTGTTTTGTTTAATTTAGCTAAGGAATACAAAAAAAAAGGACGAATTATACCAAAAAAATATTTTAGTATTGATAAAGTATTTAGAAATGAAAATCTTGATAGTACTCACTTAGCTGAATTTCATCAAATAGAAGGTCTTATAATTGATAAAGATTTAGGACTTGGCCATTTAATAGGAACATTATCAGCATTTTATAAAAATATAGGAATACATAAATTAAAATTTAAACCAACATTTAATCCTTATACTGAACCATCAATGGAAATATATGGTTATCATGAACAAAATAAAAAATGGCTAGAAGTTGGTAATAGCGGAATTTTTAGACCTGAAATGTTAAGATCTATGGGATTTTCTAAAGAAGTATCTGTAATTGCATGGGGATTAAGCTTAGAAAGACCTACAATGATTAAATATAATATTAAAAATATAAGAGATTTATTTGGATATAAAAGTGTTATATAATAATTTTTTTTTTTATTATATAAAAAAGTTTATATATTTTTCTTTATTACTCTGATATGCATATTTATGTACATGTCAGTACTTTTCTTTTTTTTAAGTTTTTTTATATTTATGTTAATAATTTTTTTTATATCTTTTTGTTGTTTTTCTTATTTTATTTTTTTTTTTTACACACTTTATTCTTTAATTACTAGCTATTCATGTTATTATTTTATATAAAAAATAAATTATTTGCACAATAATTTTGTGTTACTAAATTATATGTTAAAAAAAAAAAACTTTTTGCGTGTAAAAAAATTTTAATGCAAATAAAAAGAAAAAAAAAAAAAAAAAAAAAATTAATAAATTAGGATAAAAAAAGAAAAAAAAATTAAACATTTTTTTTTTTTATCATAAAAAAAATACAGATTTCTTACATACTTAATACATATACATTCTTATTATTTAAAATATATATATGTATTATTATAGATGATTTGTATAAATAATTATTTTTATGGAATGTAGTTTAATAAAAATAGAAATTTCTAATTTTCTATTTTTTTTAATTTTAGTTATCTAATAAAAAAAAAAAAAAAACATAAAAATTGAAATGAAAAAAGAAACTACATAATAAATTTAATGATTTTGAATATAATTTTATTAAATAAAATGTTAAATAAAGTATATCAATTTTTTATGAAAGATTTAGGAATGATCAATATTTTATTAGTATCGTTAATAATAATTACAGAACTAAAAAAAAAAGTTTTTATTTTTTGTTATTTTACATATATTTGGATATTTCAAACTCTCCTGTGCAACATACTTATTTCTACTTGTTTATATTATAATAGAAAGAATAAAAAAGAAAGTAAATTGAAAGACAATATAAACTCTTTTTTAGATATAGGATCATTTTATAAATATGAAAAACTCACTAATTTATCAAAAAAAAATAATCATAATTTTATAAATTTATATGAAAAGGATGAAATTAGTATTTTTCAATTATTTTATTGCATATACTTAAATAATATTTTCCCTTCTTTATTTCTGCCGTTTTTTTCAACACTTTTGATTCTTAAATATAGAATTTTAACACATGGTCCAAACTTAAATTTTATTTTTTTTTTTATTTAAATAATTTTTTCATTTCTCTTTAAAAAAAAAAAAATATTGCTACATATATAAATTCTCAAAAATATTCTTAAATATTAATATATATCTATATGAAATAATATTAATATAACTAATTATATTTTTTTTTATTTTTTTATAGAAGTTGCGATATTATCTATTTTATATGTAAATAAGTTTGTACTTTCAAGTATATACCTAAGATATGTAAAAATTAATATCTTAACTTATATTGCTTATAACTTGTCTTTTTTCTTTGTAATTATAAGTAATATCTTTAAATTAATAAAATTATTTTATATATATATTTATTTATATTAATTTTATAATTCTCCAGTATTTATTTATTTATTTATTTATTTATTTATTTATTTATTTATTTATTTATTTATTTATTTATTTATTTTTTTTTTTTTTTTTTTTTCCTAATTTAGATTTAATTAAAATTAATGAAAAATTATTAATTATTTTCTTGTTTTTCTTTCTAAATTTTACGTTCTACCATCTATTGCTGATAGGGTGTTTTTATTTAACAAATAAGTTAGAACAATTCTTTTAAAAAAATTAATAATAATATAGTTTATAATTAAATATAAAAAAATATTAAAAAAATTACTAATATATAAGTTTCTATTATCTAATTAAAAAAATATTTTTGATTTAATGACTACCAAATTATTTTTATTTAAATTTTTTTTTTTTTTTTTTAGAGTGTTTACCTTTTTAGAAGGATTACTAATAAGTGTTATAGGAACTTTAATTCTTGACTGTTCTTTTTATTGCCATCTATATATCTACTTAAATAATCAAATTATTCCTAACACTTTATTTATATTTTTTAGTAAAATTGTAATAATAAAAATAAAATAAAATAAAATAAATATATTACTTTATTATTTTATTTTCGGCGAAAATTTAAAAATTTTGTCTAAACATTTTTTCTAATCATTTTTTCTAATCATTTTTTCTAATAATTTTTTCTATTAGATTATCAGTTTGGTTATATATGGAATGTGTTGTATATATTGCTTACAAAAAGAAATTAAAAAAAAAAAGCTTTTTTTATCATCAGTATTATTTTTTTTATATAATATATTGAATCTTTTTTCAAATAAATATGATTCCACATATAAAAAAAGTAAAAAAAGTTTATAATTTTTTTATTCAAAATAAAAAAATCATAAAAAATAAAAAGATTTTTATACTATTTTTTTTTTTTTTTTTTTTTTTAATTTCTTCGTAGATATAAAAGTATTTCACATTATAATAAATATAATAAGAAGAAAAAATAATTATCTTTTAATTTCATTATGGTTTATTATAACTATACTATATTTAATTTATATTTATAATATAGCAAAAAAAAATAAAAATCTTCCCTATATTAGAAAACATTATCATTTTCTTCTTCTTATAAATGTCTATTTATCATTTATAACGAACAAAGTAAAAATAACATAAATAAAGATATTTATATATTGTATGAGTGAAACTAATGTAAGATCAAACTTATATGTATTTTTATATTCTTTATGATTTTGATATGATTTTAGTATATATATATATATAGATATATATATATATATATATCTTTTGATAATTTAGGTTGAATTACTGATATTAACTCTTTCTTTTGTGTTTCTATTATTTATTTTAATTGAAATTATAAGAAAAATTTACGAAAGTCTATTTCCTTTCTCTAATATTATAAAAAAAATCATTACAAGGTTTGATAAAATTAATTTTTTTTTTTTCTTTACTTTTAATTATAATATATTTAATTAGATTTATAGATGAAAGAGACAAAAAAGGATTGGTTCTTACTCATATTTACCTTTTATCTGGGTAGAATTTTTTTGAATAACAAATAATAATTATTAGAATAAAATTTTCAGTTGTCTTTATATATATTTTTTTTTTTTTAATTTTCAGTGTATATATTCCAATAATCATAGATGCAATATTTAATGATAAAAATTATATTCATAAAAAAAATCAAATAACTTATGATTTTAGAGAAACTAACTTAACTTTATATAGTATTGGATTAAATACACTATGTATAGGAGACTCATTTGTTAAAGAAAAATTTTAATATTCTTTTTTTTTAAATATTATATCATTACTGTTATTTTTTAATTTTTTTTTTTTTTTTTTTTTCTTTTAAGGCTGCAATAGGAGGACTGATATATCCAAAACCAAAAATAAAAAATACAAATAATAAATCATATGCAGGTTTAATATAATCTTTAATATTTAATTTAATTTTTTTTTTTTTATAATTTAAAAAAATATATATGCACTTACTTTTATATATTAATTTTAATTTTAGGTTTACTGTTTTTTTTCTTTAGCACTTTTTTCTCATTAATCATTTTTGAGTATTTTTTTGAAGTAAAGAATAATAATATAAAAAAATCTATTTTATTTAAATTTTTATGTACATAAAAAAAAAAAAAAAAAAATCTAAAATATTACATTTATTCGTATTTTTAGAGAAAATGCTTAAATTTAAATATTTTTTTTATCGTTTCTTTATTTGGTGCCATTTTTGAAGTAAAATAAAAAAAAATAAAATAAAATAAATTTTTTATGAATCTGATACTATGAAATTTACATATATATATATATATATATTTTTTTTTTAAGGCATACCTTTATGATATAGATAATTTATTATTACCTTTGTTTACTTTTTGTGTTTACTTAAGTTTTGAGAATTAAATAAAGATTGAAAATTTTATAACAAAAAAATTTGATTTTTCTTTTTTTTAAAATTTTGTCCAAATAAAATAAAATTAAGAAAAAATTTTTAATTATTAAATAATAATAATCTTTAAATATATATATATATATATTCTTATTGCATACATTTTTTTCTTTTATGTTAAAATGTCCTACATTAAAGTAAAAAAAAAAAAAATTTTTTAAATCTTAAAAATTCAAAGAAAAACATAAAAATGAATTAACATGGATTCTAACCAAAATTTTTTTTATATAGGCACCATCAGATATTACAATACTTGAGTATAAATACTCTAAAAATAATAAAAAAAGAAAAATTAATTTTTTAAAAAAACTTTTTATTCATTGTTCTTTTTTTACAATTGGAAACAACTGTAATAAATTAAATAATCATGATGTTATTAAAATTCTTTCAAACATATACTCAGGTATGAAATAAGAAAAAAAAAAAAAAAAAAAAAAAAAATTCATTGTAGTAGTTAAATTATTATTTATTTTTCTCCCTTTTATAATTTTTGTCTTTTTTTCAATATTTTTAGATAATGGATTAGATAATAAAAATATGAATACTATAAATATATTGAATATTTTAAACACTAGACAAAAAGATGTAGAAAAACAAGTAACATTTTTAAAAAAAAACATATGTATATATATATTATAAAGTACTCTAATTTGAGTCTATATATATTATTTTTTTTTTTTTATAAGTCATTTATAATTAATTCTCTTTTTTTTCTTGTGTTTAATAATAATATAATAGGTTAAATGCAAAATGTGTTCTTTAATGGGTATGTTATAAAGAAATATATATATTTTTACATAAAATGTTTGATATATATATATACTACAAAAAGTATAAAATTTATAAATGAAATTTTTGTGAAATTCTTTTTTTTTTTTTTTTAAAGGTTTTCTATTACTCCCTTTATATAGTTTTAAACATTTTAGATATTATGATGCAAAAAGTAAAATAATTATTTTACCTTTTTTTTCAATAGCTGGAATATATTTAGGTTCTTTTTTTGGGAATTTAATAACAGGAAGGTTAATAAAAAAAAATATTATAACAATAAATTAAAAGAGAAATATAAAAATTAAATATTTTTTTTTTTTAACTGTTATTTTAACTATTTTTTTAGGTTTAGTGATTATAAACGTTCAAAATTTCTCGGAACATTACCTGCAAACGTTTTTTTAAAAGAATGAAATAAAAAACGATAACTGCAGGAATAAAAACTAAATCCTATAATTTTTATCATTATATAATATATTTACATATTATTTCTATTTTTAGTATTTTTATTATTTATTGATTTTATTTATATTTTTTTTTTTTTTTTTTTTATTCTTTTAAAGTTTTATCTTAATATATATTTTTCCTTTTGTTTAATATATATTACAATGTATATACACATTAATGTATCTTAAAAAAAATTATAATAAAATCATATTACTTTTTTTTTTTTCTGTCATTTTCTATCTTCCTTTTTTTTTTTCCATAAAGTACATTTTTTTATAATATTCTTTTTTTTAATTACATTATCTATATTGTTTTATCTTATGAAAATTGACTTATTAAGAAAACATACATAAATTAGACATTCATATTAATAAAAACAAAAAATTAATGAAAGAGAGCAAAAAATAATATAAATATTGTACAAAATGAAATTTTTTAAATACAATTTATTTCTCCTAAATATTTTTTTTTTTTTTTTTGTATTTATTCTCTTTTCATCAAGTGAAAAAATGTTAGACATAGGAAGTTTGCCAATTTCAGAAAAACGACTTGCTTTTAATTTGATACAAATTTATAATGAGACAAAAGATGCTCAAAATAATTTTTATGTAAATTTTCAGAATACTCAAAAAATGTTTAATGAAATAAAAAAAGAAAATAACAATAATAATAATTCATCATTACCAAGTTTTCTTCAAATAAAATCAAAAGGACCAGTAGAAGAAGAAACAATATGGAGAGCATTATACGACACTCAATTAAGAAGATCTCCACCAACTGAAGAAGTTCATGTTTATTCAACCGAAGATATAGAAAAGGAATATGAACAAGCAAAATTAGATGCTTTTAAATCACAAATAGATATTATGAAAAACCAATTTGAAAAAAACCTACAATATATGAGCAAAGAATTGTCAAGACAAAAAAACATAAAAGATGTTTTAAATCAAATTCCTTTATTAGAAGAAGAAATAAATAAAGTACAAAAAAAAAAACCATATAAAAATGGTCCTATAAAAAAAATTTATTCAACAAAAATTCAGTGCTAGCTATTTTTTTTTTTTTTTTTTTTTTTTTTTTTTTTTTAAAAAAAAATTTTTAATGTATATTCATACGTGATTAAAAAATAAAATAATGGCATAATATATAAAGAAGCAAGTATTATATATATTTGTTTTAAATATAATAGGAGGGGAAAAAAAAAAAAAAAAAAAATACAAAAAATTAAAAAAATTAAAATTATTTTCAAAAAAAAATTTTTTTTTTTGTAAATATATCTTTATAATATTTTATTAAAACAATAAATGATTTATAATTGTTCTTAAGATAAGAAATATCATCATCTAATTGAATTACGAACTTTCCATTTTTTGCAAATGGCTTCATTATATGACCAACATGTAGGATCTTTAATTCATTTTTATTTGTCTGATAACTCGAATCTACTATATAAATTTTTTTATTTAAATATACACTTACTTGACTAGATGAATTAAATATATTTTTGCATATTAAAGTATAATTATCAAGTACTTTTTCTATCAATCCAATTTTTTCTTTTTCTTTCATAATTTTGAAATTTTTATAATTTTCATATTCATTAAAATCTGGTTTTTTATTAACACTAAAAGAATTACTTTTACAGTGATTATCATCAACTATATCTAAAATATTTCCATATAAACATATTCTACAATTGAGATTATCATCATTTTTTAAAAATATACACTTTTCATTTTTAAAACAATAAATTTTCTTTTTCATTATTACTAAAAAATATATTTCTTGTTCTTTTTCATTGTTCTGTTCTAAAAAATCTATCTCATTAATTAATAAATAATTACCATTTATATCAAAATTTTTATTTTTACAATCCACATTTGTTTCATTTAATTCACTCTTTACTGAAACAGTGGAATTATTTAATTGCTTTACATTGGAATATGTGTTTTCAATTTTTTTAAAAAAATATCCATAACAAAGAGAAGAAGAAAAACCAATTATACATGTTAGCAATTCTCCATTGTTGATGTTTTTTTTGTAGAACTCTACTAGCTTTACGCTACATATAAATATAGAAAAATATGATATCTTAGAATGTTCATGAACAATAATTCCTCGTTCAATTTTTTTCGTATTTTTTAAATTATTATTGGATATTAAAAGAGATAATCTATTCCCCTTTTTTCCTTCATCTACTTTTTTTTTAAAACTTTGAATTTCTTTAACTTTTCCTTTCTCATTTATTGGTAAGATCATAATGTTGCAATTATTTTTAATCATACCTTTTATAACTGTTCCTGTATAAACTGTACCTTTACCTTTTATTTCAAAAGAATGATCATATAAAAAATAAAATTCTTCATAACTTGAAATATCTCTTGATGGTATTTTTAATACATCTGTTAGTAAATTTATCAATAAATTTATATTTAAGCTTCTTTTGCATTTCGATAATTTTTCATCATTCTCTTTGTTTGTTTTTTTATTTATTTCTTCTTTTAAAATAGTTATATCTTCATTTTCATATGAATAACTTTTCTTTTTTTCTATGCTTGAACAGTCTATATTTTTATTTAAATTATCATCCATACATTTTGTTGTATCGTTTTCACACTTTGAAAATATAATTTCCCTTTTAAAAGATTCCATATTTTTTTCCTCAATTGTTGAATCTTCTTTTTTTTCATCATACAAACTATTATTTTCATAATTTATATTTTCATTTTTCTTAATTTCTGCTGCTACACTTATTATATAATAATTTAAATTTCTTATATTAGTTTTACTTAATGCATCTAAAATTTTCTTTTTCATTAAACTTATTTTTTTTTCTCTCACATTTATTGGTATTAAATCAATCTTGTTTAAAATTATAATTATATCACTTTTGACAATTTCGCATAATACTAAGCATTCAATCGTTTGTTTTTGTATTCCTTTATTAACATCAATAACTAAAAAAATCATATCTGTTATTTCTGCTCCCATCACAATACATTTCAATAAAGAATGATGTCCAGGACAATCAACTAAACATATTTGAATAATTTCTTCATTTTGAAAATTTTTATTTGTATCAATATTTATACTTTTATTTTTACAATTATATTTTAAAGAATCTTCTTCTTCATTACTATTAATGGAAGCATTACTAATTTTCTTTTTTATATAAAAAGAAGAAAAACCTAAATCTATTGTTATTCCTCTTTCTTTACTTTGTTTATGCTTATCTAATGCACAGGTGCTTAATATTTCACTTAAACATCTACACAAACTTGTTTTTCCTGAATCTACATGACCTAGTACTCCAATATTTATATTTATCATTCATGCATATGCATATATATAACTTAAAATAAAATTTCTTAGAGTAATATATAGTTGTAATAAATACAAGTATTAATGCTATATACCTATTATAAATCTTCTTTTTTTTTTTTTTTTTTTTTAAACCTCACTTTTTATCATAAAGAAAATAGATGAAACCCATAAATTGAAAAGGAATAAATATTTTCAAAAAATAATTTATTGTAACATATATAATTTGTGTTACAATTTTTTTTTTTTTTTTTTTTTTATGAGTTAGCTAAGAATTTTTTTTTTTTTTTCTTTACTATTTATATTAACATACAGGATTTTTCTTTTCATATTCATTATCCTTCATACATATATTCTTATTTTTTTTTTTTTTTTTTTTATTTAATTTCTTATATATATATATAAATAATAAATAAAATTAAAAGCTTCCGTTTAAAATATGAATAAAAAAAAAGAAATAATGAAATATTTATAAAATATCTAAAAATAAAATTGAAACAAAAATTAAAATTGAATGAAAAGGAAAAAGTAAAATGGAAGAAAATAACATAAAAAATATTTAAATAAACTTTAAAAAAAATTAAATATTTTTAAAACATATATATATTCATTAAAAAAATAGCTATATGGAATTATTATTTAATGAACAAAAATGGATATTGAAAAATGTTATGAAAATTCATGTAAAGATAGAGGAAAAATAAAAATTTTTGAAAATAAGAATGATACAAAAAAAACTATTTATCCACCAGATAGAGCAGAAATAGGTAGAGCATCTTGGCTAATTTTACATACAATATCGGCAAATTATCCAGATCAACCAACTGAGGAAGAAAAATTAAAACACACAAAGTTTTTTTATGCATTTTCAAATTTATATCCTTGCCATATATGTAAACTTGATCTCTTACATATTTTAAAAAAATATCAACTAAATTGTCAAAATAGAGTTAGTTACTCAACTTTTATTTTTAATTTGCATAATATGATAAATGAAGAAATAGGAAAAGATATTTATCCTTGTGATAATATTCAAAATATAATAGATAAGTATAAAACAAAAAATTAAAAAAAATATTCTATTTGATTTATATATATATATATATAGTAAGTGAAGAAACAGATGAGAGCATATACCCATTTAAAGTTATAAAAAAAAAGAATAGATAAGTATTAAATAAAAAATTAACAATTATATTAGTTAATAATTAAAAACATTTTAATAAAATAGTAAAATATAGTGTATTAAAAGAACATATGTATATATATAGTTTTCATTTATTTAATGAATTACAAATAAAGAATAACAAAAAGGAAAGAAAGAAAAAAAAAAAAAGGACAATGTAATTAAATTTTTTAAAATGAAAGTATTAAAGGATATTTAAATGAAAAGAAATAAAATCCATATCATTCATAGGAATTTTTTGTAAATAAAATTGTTATCCTAATGCATTTTATTAAAGCTACCTCTTGCTTTTTTCTATTTTATAAAATTTTATAATTATATTATACTTAAAAAAAAATTATATATATATATATATATATATATATATATATATATATATATATATATATACAATAAACTCTAAAATCGGAAAAAATAAGAAAAAAAAAAAACAATAAGCATAATAAATAAACAATAAAAATATTGATACTGTATTAATATGAAAAGATACAAAGAAAAAGACTAAATGATAAAATTTATTAAAAAAATGTGTTAATACAAATATTAATCATTATCAAATTAAGAATTATATAATTATTCTTAAAAACAACAAAATAAATGAAACTTAAAATTTCTAAAAATAAAATAAAAAGTAATTCTCTTTTTTTTTTATCTGTTATTTTTTCTTTTCATTATTCGCAAAAATATTCTTCTACATTTAAATCATATAAATTTTCATTTTTTAATTTTATTTCCTCATTATATTCTTTTTCATTTATATTTAATATTTTATATAACTCTTGTTTTAATTGATATTCTTCTTCTTCATCTTCATCTTCTTCATCTTTTTTTTTTTTTAATTTTTTTCTATTTTTTCTATTTGTACCATTATTTACATTATTTTTTTTTTCTCCATATATTGCATCTCCACTTATTTCTTCTTTAATGGATAACTTAGAATCATTATCTTGTGAAGAAACAGATGATTCATCACTTTTATATAAGTTATCACTTTTTTGTTGTATTTCTTTCTCCCAATAATGGCAGCTTTTATCTGTACACACATAAATTAAAGCCATAGGATTATAGCTAATTTTTTCAGGCAATTGTAAAAAAACTGCTTCATTATTTCCACATTGTTTGCATTTCCAATCTCTTACTCTCCCCAATGCTGGGTCATTTTTTGTTTCTGGGTGTATATATATATCTTCTCTTTAAAAAAACAATGTAAAGAAAAAAAAAAAAAATAAATAAATACATATATAGGTATATCTATATTAACAAAAATATAATAATACTTGTCTTTAAATATAATATCACTTTTTTTTTTTTTTTTTTTTTTTTTTTTTTCTCATAAATTATATTTCTATATATATGATTCTGTTTGCACTAGTGTGTGTATACATTATTATTTATTTGAATAATGTATAATTGTTTACATAATTTTAACATATATTCATATACATAAAGAAAATGCATATATTATTTTAAAATAAAAATCATCTGGATTATACATATGTATATATTTATAAAGATTCTATATTTTAACGAAATTTTTTAATTAAAAATAAAATAATTATACATAATTATTATTATAAAGGTATAAAATTTTTTTGAAATATATACATTTTTTTCCATTCTTATTAAATCTGTTCTTTTTTCTATATAGTGTTACTTTTTTCTTTTTTTTTAATTCTTTTTTTTTTTTTCTTACTTTCTATTATAATTATAATTTATTCTTGCTACAACATTGTGTTCTTCATTTTGCTTATGAGAAATAAATTCACAACTTCTACAAACATAAATAAGTTTTTTATTTTTACGATCACTTCTAGCATATAAAATATTATTACATTCTTCACAAAACGTAACTTCTGCCATCTTTTATAAACTTTTATTTATTGTATATATATATATATATATATATGAATGTTAAATTTATTTAAAAAAAAAAATACTACAAAATATATTAAAAATAAAATGAATAAATAAAAAAATAAATATATAAATAAATAATGTAAATTTACTAATATACTAAAAATATTTACAAAAATTATTTTTTTAAAAAAAATAAATGAAAAATATATTTACGTATAAAATAAATATGATATATTAAATAATACAAAAAAAAAAAAAAAAAAAAAAAAATTTAATAAAATAAAAATACAATAAATAAAACTCACATATATATATTTATAAATTTACTTATACGTTGTAACTAATAAATATTAAATATAAATAATTAACAAAATTAATTACTCAAATTTTAATATTATTTAATTTTTTCTAATATTTATTTTTTGTTATTTTAGCATATATATATAAATTTTCTTTATATTTTCCTTATCTTTTTTTTTTTTTTTTTTTTTTTTTTGTAATAGTATCAATATCTTTTAGTTCGTTTACTTTTTTCATTTTTTGATATAATTTTTTTTATATATATATATTTTTTAAAAGCAAAATTAAATTAAGAAAAATCCGTGATTTAGATAAAAATAAAATTTTGAACATTTTTGTTGTTATCTATACATGTAAATTTGATATTAAAAAAAATTGATTTATTAGATATAAACAATTTTTACTTAAAAATATAATTTTGAACAAATGTGTATAAATTAATTATAAATATTCTTAATTTCATTTCTTTATATTTTTTTTTTTTTTTTAATGGAAACAAGAAGAAAATTTAGAGAAAAGATAACAAAGCTTAAAGATTTAGAAGAAAATAAAATAAATGAAAAAAATGATGAAATAAAAACAAATAAGGAAAGTTTAAATGAAAATATAAATGAATTAGGCATTACTGAAAAAACAAATAAAAATAAAGATGATAATAAAGAAGAAAAACATTTAAAAATATGTGAAAATATAACAAATAATGAAAAAATTGAAAACTATGAAAAACCGAAAAATGAAGAAAAAAATAAAAGTTTTGTAAAAAATAAAATTGATGACAAAATAAATTATTCAAGTAACATTATAAAAGATAATAAAACCAGTAGCAATTATGATAAAAATAAAAAAAACAGTAAACCGAGTATCTCTAATGAAAATGAATCACTTGAACATTCAGAACTATTAAAAAAAAGCAAACCAAGAGAAAAAGATGATATAAAATCAAAAAAGCGAAATAATCAATTAAAAAAATCACATGAGTGTATAAATATAGATATTAATATTAAAGAGCAGGGAAAAAATGATGAACATAATACGAAAATAAATGAAAATAAAATGAAAATAGATTTGATTGAGAGAAATAATTCAAATAATGATAATGAGCATATATATTATTCTCATAATACTTGTATCGACAGATATTATCATGATGAAATAAAGAATAAAAGTATTGAAGAAAACGAAGAAATAGATGAAAAGAAAAAAAAAGAAAAAGAAAAAGAAAAAGAAGACATTAATAGTATAAATAAAAAAAAAAATGAAATAGAAATTTCTAAAAGTAAAAAAAAAAAAGATACAGAAATAAGTGCAAATGGAAATATATACAAAAAGAATATTTTAGAAAATTCTACTGAAGGAAAAAATTCACATAGTAAAACAAAAAAAAAAAGTATTGATAATAATAAAAATGAAAGTTTGAATATAATAAATAATATAGAGTTCACTGATAGCAAAAAAGAATCAAATAAACTTCTTAAAATAGAAAAAGAAGAAGAAATTGAAAATTTAGATGAAAAAAAAGATATAGAAGAATTACTAAAAAATAAAGAAATTAACGATTACACACAAAAAATTAATGAAACAGATAATTTAAACAAAAGAAAAGATAAATCAAGCGAGTTAGAAAACAAAGAAGAAGTAATTAACTTAATCAAAGATGAAAAGACTAATTTAAAAAAAAATGATGAAATACAACATTTAACTCATAAAGGGGATGATTGTAATGAAATCGAAAATGATGAAACTATAATTGTCAAAAGGGACAAATTATTATTTGATACAATTATCAACGACAAACATGAAAATGAGATAAATAGTAGTATACATGTTAGTGAAAATACAAATTTAGAAGAATTTAACAAAAAAAGCAAATTAAAAAATAATCATAATGAAAAAAACACTTTAACAAAGGAAATCACAGAAGAAAATAAAGGATATGAATCTTTTTTAAATAGAAGCATTAAAAGAAGATTATCACAAATATTAGATAATATGAAAAAAAAACAAATTTTTCAAATGTTTAATAACCCAGATGATTATGGTAATATATGCTTTGATAGCAAAGAAGAAGAAAAAATAAACACTGAAAATGAAAAAAATAATAAAGATCAAAATAGTGAAAATGAGGATATTATAGAATTAAAAAGTAACAATTTTTTACAGTGTATAAATCTAGATATAATATATAACAAATTACACTATAATTTTTATAAAAATGAAAATGAATTTAATGATGATATGTTTTCAATTTTTAATAATATCAAGAGAATTATTGAAGTTACTGATGATAAGGAAGAACAAATGAACCTTTTTATTTTAAGAAATGATGCATTAAAAAATTATGAAAATGAATTTTATAAGATGCTAATTTCTATACGTGGAACAAAAGACGCTAAAAAATTTATTACTTCTCAGAAGCATTACAATAATGAAGAAGAAAAATATTTTTCTAAAATTTTAGTAAATGTAAATAAAGATGAAAAAAAAGAAAATAAAAATAAAAATAACAAAGATGAGAAACTTGTAAAAAATAGCAAAACTAAACAAAACATTTCAACAAGAAAAAAGGAAAGTGAAGTGAAAAAGGTAATAAAGAAAGAAGTAAATAAAAATGAGAAATCACTTCCTCTCAAAAAAAGTAATTCTTCAAATGTTGCAAAAATAACGAATTGTGAAGAAAATGTTAAAGATATGAATTTATCATTAAATATAAACTCAAACTTGTCCAATATTGATAATAACGAAATTAAAAAGGAAAATTTGAATGATATAAATTATAATGAAATGAATTATGAAATGAATAATAATTTATCATGTGAAGAAACAAACAATATTAATAAAAAAGTTAATGAAGAAAATGATGAAATACTTAAAGATGACATAAATAATAAAAGAAAGGAAAACACAAAAATTACGAAAAATGTAGTTAAAGAAAAAGAAAAAAAGAATAAAAAAACAGATACAATTAAGAATGAATTGAGTAAATCAAAAGAGGTAGATATTATTGAAAATAAAAATTCTGAAAAAAATGAAAAAATAATAGAAAAAAAAGATGAAAAAATAATAGAAAAAAAAAATGAAAAAATAATAGAAAAAAAAGATGAAAAAATAATAGAAAAAAAACATGAAAAAATATTAGAAAAAAAAGATGAAAATTTAAAGGAAGAAAAAAAAGACAATTTATGTAATGATAAAACAGGAAAAAATGAAATCAAAAGGATATTAAATCAATGGGAAAAAATATTAAGAGATAATATATTAAAACTTTTAAAGAATGATTCTAATTCTTTTTATTTTAAAATTCCAGTTTTAGAAGATAAAAGTATTAGTGATAATATAAAAGAAGAATATAAAATGAAAATAAAAAAGCCAATGGATTATACAACTATTTCAAAAAATTTATCAGATGGTTTTTATAAAAGACCCATTGATTTTTATTTAGACATGAAATTAATTTATAAAAATTGTCTCGATTTTAATCCAGGAATCTCAGAAAATCAATATATAATAGATGCAGCAAAAAGTAGTGATGAAAAATTTGATAATTTATGGAATAAATGGAAAGAAAAAATATTTAATAATTACTGTGATTTGAATAATAATATTTTTAATTTATCCTATTATTTAGAATTTTTTAAAAAAATTACAAAAAAAAAAAAAAAATATAGCACTATTTATGCAATGTGGGTAGATTATCTTATTAGTAATAAAATTGAATTGAATGATTTTTGTAAATTAAGAAATTTCAAGATAGAAGAATTAAATGAAAAATGTAAATCAAAAATAGATTTAAATGATATTAACTTAAAAGATTATAAAAAATTAAATAAAAACAATTTGTTGTTTTATATATTTAAAGAAGAATATCAGAACATTTTAAATTTAAAAAAAGAAGAAAAAATTACAAAAAATTTTGATGAAGAAGAAATTACAAAGAAAAAAGATGGTGAAGTAAGTCATGAAGGAAATAGTAAAATTAAAATTATTTTAAGAGATTCAAAAATAGGACAAAATTATGGAGATAAATTAAAAGAAAAACAAGATAGTCTTTTAACGAATATTCTTAAAGAAAAAAAAAAAAAAAAAAAAAAAAAAAATGTCATTTTTTTTGAAGAAAATGTTTTTGATAATTATTTAGATAATAAAAAAAGTTGTATGATAAAATATGATAAAAATGTATTTATAACTGATTGTTTTTACTACAAAAATATTTTCAAAAACTTAGATGAACTTATTGACGAAAATTTAAAAAAAGAAAATGAAAGTGATATATTAAAAGTTGAACCCTCAGATAATGATTCGCATATTGAAGAAAATCATTCTCATAAAGAAACACCACTAACTGTTTTAAATGGTAAAAATGAAAAAATAGAAGGAGAAATTACAAATGAAAATGTACTTCTTACAAAAAATAATAATAAATTAAATGAACTTGATAGTAATAATAAAAATAACTATCCAAATGAAAAACCTGAAGAAAAAAATTGTAATATAAATTCTTATAAATGTAATGAAATACATGAAAATGATAAAATATCATTGAATACACAACCATCTGTGAAAAATGATAAAAAACTTTTTCTAAAAGATAAAAAGATTTATTTAAATATAAAAAAAAAAGAGATAAATAAAATTATATGTAAAGAATTTCAGGATGATTATGAAGAAAGCATAAGTGATCATAATTCTTCTCATGAAAAAATAATACTGAAAGAAGATTCATTAAATGATTTAGAAAATGTAAATATGAAACAAAATAATGTTTTTAATATAAAAGATCAAGAAATAAGTAATAATTATATAAATAATATCAACAACAATAGTTACAATGACAATCATAATTTAAACAACAATGTGAGTACAGAATTAAATGAATATGAAAATTTAATTTATAAAGAAGAAAAAACACAATCAGGTAAAAAAAGAAATATTTACGAAAAAAATCCAGATGATATCTCGAATATTGTTAAAAAGTATAAAGGATATTCAGAAACAAAAAAATTTGATTTAAATAGCCTTAATCATGCAGAAAAAAAAGATAATAATAAAAAAGCTCACAACCTTTTAAATAATAATGATGATGATGTGCTATTTAATTTAAGTAACAAAAATTTTTTTAATTTCCACATATTATTTGAAAAAAATAAAAAATTAAAAGAAGAATTTTTTTTAAAAAACCAAATAATAGAAAAAACGTTACTTTTAAATTTGAAAATGGAATATAGTAAATTTATAGATACTTCATTTTTCCCTGTGAGTAATACATGCTTTTATAATCATTACTTTGATGATAATTTTTTTTTCTTTATTAGATCTAGTTTTAAGTTAGATTTATTTATAAAAATTCAAAGAAAGAATATTTTTTTATCTGAAGAAAAATATTTTGAATTTTTAAAAATCCATTTGATGAATAAGTGTAAACAAAATAATGATATAAAATTTTACTTAAGTAATTACACTTCAAATGATGATGATACATTAATTCAAATTTTAGAAAAATGTTTTAAAAATTTAAATTCAGAATATGATACGTCAAATTCATTATTATTATATGATGCTATAAATGAAATTTCATTTTTATTATCCCAAATTAGAATATACATTAAGGTAATTGGATTTTATTAAAAAAAGTTTTTCCTACTTTTATTTTTTCATTTTATTCATTTATAATTTTATTTTTATTTTAAAATGCTACTTTGTTCTAATATTTTTGTTTACTATATTTTCCTTGTGTACATATATTTAGATATCATTATATTATTTTTTAATTTATTTTTTTATTTTCCCTATAGGAAATAGATATTTTGTTAAGATTAGATATAGATAAGAAAACAAACATCACTACCATTAGTATTTTAAAGAAAAAGTTATAATCGTATGTCTATTTATTTATTTTTTCTTTTTTTTTTTTTTGTTTTTTTGAAGAAACATAATTAGAAGTTACACAAATTTTCAAATTTTGCCATTCTTAAATTAATAAAATGAAACTTTATTTTATTTTATTTTATTTCAGTTTTTTTTTTTTTTTTTTTTATTCTATTTAAATTTGAATCACTTTAATGATATTTAGACTAAAAAATTATATAGAAAAAAAACATTGCATGCTTTTTTTTTTTTTTTTTTTTTTTCTAAATATATTTTAAAACCTTTTTTATTTTTGCCTATCAACAAAATAGAAAACCTTAATAACAAAAAAATATATGTAATTTTATATAATTTTGTTAAATTTTCTTTTTTTTTTTTTTTTTAATTTTCTGTTAATTATATTTTAGAGATGTTTAGAAATAATATTTTTATTAAAATTATTTATCTATAAAAATGTTTTCGTTTTTTTTTTTTCACACGAAGGGTGAAAAAGTAAAATAAAAAAAAAAAACTGAACTGCTAGAAAAATAAAAATATGTAAATTATATAAGGAGAATTTTTTTATAATATTTATTTTTATTTTTTTTTTAAATATCTATTAAAAATATTTTACTTTATTTTACTACATTAGTATATATATATATATATACATATATATATATATATAATATATATATATATATATAAATTTCTTTTTTTTTTTTTTTTAATTACTTTTGTTTCATATATATTCTTTGTTTTAAAAACTACTTACAAATTTCAAATAAATAAGAATATTCTTATATAAAATTTTGTATCTATTATAAAATAATCTGAAACGTGTTTTTTTAATTTTATTAATTCTTCTTGTAACTCTTGTCATATAATTTTAACTTTTTTATTAAATCTATATTTTTCAATCTCTTCTCTTTGTTTAAATTATGTATAATATAATTTTTTATTTGTTTATTCTTTTACACACATAAAATTTTACACTTTAAATATTTTCAGAATTATTTTTTTTTTTAATCTTATTTCTTCAATATATATTTATGATTTATATATATTTTTCAAGCATATATATATATATTTTTATATATATAGTTTTTTTTAATACTTTTTTAAGTATTAATATTATTATATATATTTTTATCATTACTGTTTTATTTATGTTTATATTTTTATATATTCATTAAAATTAATAAAAAAAAATTAAAGTGGAAACAGATATATATACGTAATTTTTTTTTATCTCTATTCATATTTTTTTTTTTTTTTTTTTTTTTTGAATGGAGCTTTTTTCCATACCTTATATGCTCTTATTTATTTAATTTTTAATTATTTTATAGGATTATGGAAAAAAAAAAATAAAAAATATGTTTTATTAATTTTTATTCTGTTCTTTTAATAATTTCATATTTTATTTTATTTAATTTTTTTTTTTTTTTTTTTTTTTTTTTTTTGTAACGCATTTAATTATCAAAACAAATGAAATGTACAAATGTAAATATAAGAAATGTATTAGAATGGAATATAAAAAAAAAAATAAAAGAAAACACAAATTTAAGTGATGATGAAATTATGATAATTTATAAAAGATTTAATTCTATTAGTAATAATGGCAAGTTGAATTATGATAAATTTGAAAAAAGTCTAGGAATACTTGGAACTATTAAAAATGCATATTTATATCAATCCATATTTAATGCTTTTGATTTGAATAATGATAATTATTTAGATTTTTATGAATTTTGTGTTGCTATTAACATTATGCTTAAAGGAAGTAAAAAAGACAAATTGAAATTATCATACAGAATTGTACACTCAGGATTAAGTAATAATAATATCAACGAAAATAATTTAAATAATGAAAAAAATAATGAAAAAAATAATGAAAAAAATAATGAAAAAAATAATGAAAAAAAAAATGAAAAAAATAATGATAAAAATAATGATAATAACATAGTTTACAATAACAAAAATTGTAAAGAGGAAGAAGAAGAAAAAAAAAAAAAAAAAAAAGGTGACTATTCAAATTATATTACATATGAAGATTTTGAGAAAATTGTTTTAAGTATAAATGATATAAAAAAAAAACTATTAGGAACAAAAGAAGATATAATAACAAGTCAAATTAAGTATATTTTTAAATCATTAAGTATTTTATGTGAAGATGGAACTTATAGAATGAATTTAGAATGTTATAAAAGAGCTATGAAATGTAATGAATTTTTAAATTTATTAGGCATACATACAAAAGTTGCTGATGTTTTTTTACGAAATGAAATAATAAAAAAAAAAAAAAGTAAAAATGAAAAAAATAAAAAGAAAAAAGAAGAGGAATTATTTTCTTCCAATAATAATAAATGTGAGAAAAAAAAAACATATAAACAACTAATAAGATCCTTTTCTGAAACAACAAATAGAAGAGGATCTCTTTTAAAAAAATCTAATCATTTATTTTTAAGAAGAAAAAAAAAGAAAAAGAAAAAGTTATATGAAAAAAAAGATAGTGTATCATCTATTGAAAGTAAAAAAAAAAATGTAAATATGAATTCTGATTTATCATATATGAATGATCTTCAAAATGAAAAGGATAAAACTAGTATTCATAATAGTTTCGAATTAAAAAAAAAAAAAGATATTGAAAAAAATAAATTTCCAGATTTAAAAAAAGCATTTAAAAATGATCTTAACAAAAACGAAATTCATAATAAAATATCTTCTAATAGTAAAAATAATAATTATATTATGAATAGTAACACTAATTTCTTTGAGTCTAGTTTTATTAATAGTAAAGAGGATATAAAAACAAAAACAATTAATGATATAAAATCAAAAAATAAAAATGATAATTGTAAAGATACAAATATTATATCAAACAAAATTTTTTATCCTAATTCACAAGAAGAATATAATACTACTGATAGCAACATTCTTAATACCAATCATTTATTATTAGTTAATAAAAAAAAGATAAAAAATTATCAAAAAAAAAAAAAGGAAAAAACTTTTGAAGAAAAAGAGAGAATGTTTTTAAGTAGTAACAATACTCTTCATAAAAGAAGTAATAAAAAAGAAAAAGAGGATTCAAATAATTTAATAAAAAATGTAAAGGAAAAAAATATTAATAATAAGATGTTTACGAAAAATGGGTTATATACTTTAAGAAAGTCAAATAATTCATCTGAAAATAAAAAAGATATAAAATCTTCTAATATAATTAATCAAAATATGTTAAACTTAAATAGTAACCTTTCTGAAAGTAGCAAATCCATTTATGAATATCATTCTGACATGGAATTTCTAAATAGAAGAAGAGAGTATCAAATTAATAACATTAGTTTTTATAATACAAAAGATTCACTTTTTATATTTAATAAAGAAGGAAATAGAAAGGATAAAAGTGTAAATATAGAAAAAAAGAAAGACAGAAATAAAAATAAAGATAAAAATAAAGAAAAAAAAAAAGATAAAAATAAAAATAAAGAAAAAGAAAAAGAAAAATATAAAAAAAGAGAGCAAAAAGAAAAAGGAAAAGATAAAAATATAGATAAATATAAATATAAAGAAAAAAATATATATATAGATAAAATAATGAATAAAAATAATAAATATAAAACATGTAATGATACGAATTTAACCCTTAAAAAAGAAAATTTTACTATAAAAAATGAAGGAAAAAAGGAAAAGGAAAAAGAAAAGGAAAAAGATAAAGAAAAAGAAAAGGGTAAAGAAAAAGAAAAGGATAAAGAAAAAGAAAAGGATAAAGAACAAGAGCAAGAGCAAGATCAAGAAAATTTAAATAAATCTAATTTCACATGTCTAAAAGATAAAATAAAAAGTGAAATCATTAATTTTGAAGAAAAAGAGGAAAACAAGAAATATGTAGAAGATTATTATAATTATATAGAGATATATAAAAAATATGTAGAAGAAAAAGAATATATAGAAGAAAAGGAAGAATATTTAGATGAGCAAGAATTCATTGAAGAAAGAGATAACTTCATTGAAGAAAAAGAATTTTTAGAAGAAAACTTTCAGTATTGTGAAAATGATTTTCATTTCTATAACGAAAATGTTTTAAATAATAGCAATAGTAATATAAGTAGCAAAAATTATTTATACAACAAATTTTTAGAATATAAAGATTTTGTAAAATATTCAAAACCACCCATATCATATAATTCACTAATTTCTATTAGTAATAATGAAAATGAAAAATACTCTAGTATTTATTTTGATACAAAAAATAATCAAAGTAATTCTAAAAATGAAAAAAGTCCAAGTATGGAATTCAGTGATGATATAATAAATAAAAAGTTTTTTATACCTAGTGTAAAATCTCACTTTGTTATGATAAATAGCAATTTAACAAAAGAACAAGTGTTATACTTAATTAGAAATACTTTAATAGCAATTGAAGAATATTTAAAAGATAAAAACGGAGATTATAATAAAATTTTTTTTTTATTTTTTGCAATATTTTCCTATAGCACACAAAATGATACAGAGGAAAATGAATTAACGAATGAACAAATAAATTTAAAAAAAAATAAAATGGATATTTTTCAAAATATATTTTTAGTTATATCAATAATAAGATATTTTCTTCACACAATAACTATTTCCCAAAAATATACTTCTTCATGTGATTCATTGGATGAAAAGTATGTGAACAAAAATATAAATTCCTTAAAATTAAATGAAGTAAAAATTTTATTAAATCAAGCAAATGAAATTTTAGATAAATATTCAAAAGGAAATTATCAAAACAAAAAAATATATATAAATAAATCGAATTACTATAATTTTCCGAAAAAAGGAAAATTATCAGTATCATTGCGTCAAAGTAGACAAAAAAAAACATTTCATAAAATTTTAGCAGTTTATTTTGGTCATGAAAGATGGGATTTGGTGATGAATATGATGGTTGGAATCAGAATTTCTGCAATAAAACAATTTAATATTAATGACATTTCAAATCATTTTGAGCATAAAGATATTTTAGAATTACCTACATCGCATACTCAAAAAAAAGTACTCTTTAAAAATTATGCACCAATTATTTTTAAAAATATCA